GCTGAACTGCTATGTAATATCTAATCTCCTATATGGAAGTGAATGCTGGACAATTTCATCCTTTTCATAAACTAAGCAAAATATTAAGAGATAGGAAAATGTCGTTAGAAACAAAGAAAAGAGTGCTGAACTGCTATGTAATATCTAATCTCCTATATGGAAGTGAATGCTGGACAATCTTTTATGCTTTTCATAAACTAAGCAAAATATTAAGAGATAGGAAAATGTCGTTAGAAACAAAGAAAAGAGTGCTGAACTGCTATGTAATATCTAATCTCCTATATGGAAGTGAATGCTGGACAATCTCTTCATGCTTTTCATAAACTAAGCAAAATATTAAGAGATAGGAAAATGTCGTTAGAAACAAAGAAAAGAGTGCTGAACTGCTATGTAATATCTAATCTCCTATATGGAAGTGAATGCTGGACAATCTCTTCATGCCTTTCATAAACTAAGCAAAATATTAAGAGATAGGAAAATGTCGTTAGAAACAAAGAAAAGAGTGCTGAACTGCTATGTAATATCTAATCTCCTATATGGAAGTGAATGCTGGACAATCTCTTCATGCTTTTCATAAAAAAAGCAAAGTATTAAGAGATAGGAAAATGTCGTTAGAAACAAAAGAAAAGAGTGCTGAACTGCTATGTAATATCTAATCTCCTATATGGAAGTGAATGCTGGACAATCTCCTCATCCTTTTCATAAAAAAAGCAAAATATTAAGAGATAGGAAATGTCGTTAGAAACAAAGAAAAAGAGTGCTGAACTGCTATGTAATATCTAATCTCCTATATGGAAGTGAATGCTGGACAATCTCCTCATCCCTTTCATAAACAAAGCAAAATATTAAGAGATAGGAAAATGTCGTTAGAAACAAAGAAAAAGAGTGCTGAACTGCTATGTAATATCTAATCTCCTATATGGAAGTGAATGCTGGACAATCTTCTCATCCTTTCATAAACAAAGCAAAGTATTAAGAGATAGGAAAATGTCGTTAGAAACAAAGAAAAGAGTGCTGAACTGCTATGTAATATCTAATCTCCTATATGGAAGTGAATGCTGGACAATCTCTTCATCCTTTTCATAAACTAAGCAAAGTATTAAGAGATAGGAAAATGTCGTTAGAAACAAAGAAAAGAGTGCTGAACTGCTATGTAATATCTAATCTCCTATATGGAAGTGAATGCTGGACAATCTCTTTATGCTTTTCATAAACTAAGCAAAATATTAAGAGATAGGAAAATGTCGTTAGAAACAAAGAAAAGAGTGCTGAACTGCTATGTAATATCTAATCTCCTATATGGAAGTGAATGCTGGACAATCTCTTCATGCTTTTCATAAACTAAGCAAAATATTAAGAGATAGGAAAATGTCGTTAGAAACAAAGAAAAGAGTGCTGAACTGCTATGTAATATTTAATCTCCTATATGGAAGTGAATGCTGGACAATCTCTTCATGCTTTTCATAAACTAAGCAAAATATTAAGAGATAGGAAAATGTCGTTAGAAACAAAGAAAAGAGTGCTGAACTGCTATGTAATATCTAATCTCCTATATGGAAGTGAATGCTGGACAATCTTTTCATGTCTTTCATAAACTAAGCAAAATATTAAGAGATAGGAAAATGTCGTTAGAAACAAAAAAAAAGAGTGCTGAATTGCTATGTAATATCTAATCTCCTATATGGAAGTGAATGCTGGATAATCTCCTCATGCCTTTCATAAACTAAGCAAAATATTAAGAGATAAGAAATTTCGTTAGAAAGAAAGTATACTCAATTGCTATGTAATGTCTAATGGTTAATGTTTTTATGTTAACCAGATTCTGATACTGTTAATTTAACCTTACTGAAGAATAAACGTGATAAAATATCAGAAATTAGTTCTACATTCTGTACATTAATTCAGTTTGCATACAGTAAATACAGCACAAGGAAATTTGTTTTAATTTTCATTTTATTTTCATTCTTTTTGAATGAAGAGAGCATTTCCACGATCAAAGTTTTTTTCTACACCGTACAATGCCAACTGATTTTATATCTAGTCGTAAGTTTGGACAAGTCGTTAAGTAAAGAGTGACTTTATTTGAAGTAGCTCTCTGTAGATAATGCAATTATACGCCGAGTTGTTTATTCTCACTTTTGAAACAAATATGGTCTGTTGCTTTTTATTCTTTTGTCTGCGTATAACCTGACAGTATTTTGCGAAAGTTTGTTCTGATTTAAGAGCAGACATGTTATTCAAAAGGTTTAATAGTTGCAAACACGATTATCTTTCTTCTGTCACGTCTCTTAGTCTTTTGATGATCGATAATTTCATTTCGTAAATTTTTTCAAAGATAACACTATACTTTTATTCTTTCTATATTCCGTGAAAGATATTTGCTTATTCATTCTTCGAACCTCATAACGGGTCATAATGTCGAAACAATTATCTGTTACAATTGATGCGTAAATCTCTTGAAAATTTTGTTTTATTTCAAAGGATCAGATTTAATTACCGTATCGGTGTGTCTTGGTATCTTCCAAGAGATCATATTCAGGGTAAATGCTTGCAGTCTCACGTATAAGAATCACCATTTTATCTATAGACTCATGTACATATTTACCTAGAGAGTCAAGTATAAAAATCACCAATTTTTACCTATAATGTCAGAATAACTATCTATTACAATTGATGTGTAAATCTCTTGAAAATTTTTGTTTCATGTCAAAGGATCAGTTTTTAATTACTGTATAGGTGTGTATTGGTATCTCCCAAAACTACCTATAGACTCAAGTATTAAAATCACCAATGTTGACCCATAGACTCAGGTACTGATCGAAATGTATTGGTATTGTTGCTATGGTAACGAAAGTAATGTATTCTAAGTAAAGACACATGACACAGATTGACCTTGAACTCATTGAACACATGTACTCTAAGTTATTCCATTCTCGTTAGCTTCCTAGGTTTATAGCAATGCACGGAAGTTTCACCACGCCATAGAGGCTCCATCAGTGAGCATGGCTTTGCAGCAGTTTTTGACCAAGTACAACATTCCCAAGGTTCGGTAACCATCATATTCCATATATTTCGCTCCTTGTGACTTTTTCCTATTAAATAAAATTCCACTTGATAGGAAGAAGATTTCTATTTTTATAGATTGTACGAGCTCTGGTAGGATTGTAGCTTTCAAATGAAATGCTTTCACTGCTAACGCCCACTGTTACCCATCCTACTGTGTCATTCTTCCAATAGACTTTACGTTCAGTTCTTGAGCAATGCCGTGCAATGTTGGTTTGGAATGGCTCTGCAATCTTTACGATAGCTGAAAAATACCGGTGAGGCGCCGTCATCAAATTATGCGTAAAACTCGACTGAACGGCTACGAAAACTCGAGATATGCTTCCCCCGCCTTTTAGCGAGCATTCTATAGCTCCAACCCAAATGTTTCAGTGGCACAAGCGTTTCAAGTCCGGTCAACATCGGTTCGAAATGATGAGCGCTCAGAACAGTTAAATATATGGCAAACATTTCAGGAAATTGTTAACTACAGACTTCGTCTGCTTGAAGATACATCTCTGGAAATATTTTGGTAGCACCTTCGTACAAACCACAATGCTTTTACGTACATCTGTATATATGTGAATAGTTTAGTGTCTATATTCGGATATTTTAAACATTTTTTTATTAACTCTAAAAGCAAAATTATCCAGACCGTTTATTTAATATAACTTACCTGCAAAAGCATGAAATTCAAGATACATAATTTTAAAATGGAATGCCAACTGTTAAAATAATTGTTTCGTAATGGCAGCCTTATCGCCAGAGGAAATCTGAAGGCAAACGAGAAAGCAAAAAGCAAAAAGGAAATTTAAACGGTTGCTGCTGTAAATGTAAGACGCATTCTAGGAAAATATTTTCAATTGGTTCAGTTCCTAAATGCAAATGACAATTTTTGATTGGTATAATGAATGAAATTTACAGCAATTTTGTTAAGGATATAAACTTCTTTTTATCTTATATATTTATTTTTAATAATTTCTGCAGTTCATACTCATGTTCTTATTCGCGAAAATTTCCGAAGCTTTAACAGACAAAATGGCGTATTCCTCTGCAGGGCTTCTTAACATGAAAACAAAAGGCATCTCTGCAACAAAATTTAATTTCGTCGTTCATAAATTGAATACATTCACCGATGATAAAATGAAAATAACAATGTCTTATTGGAACTCAAAACTGATAAAACTGATAACTTACTCAGCAAAAAACATGTCTTCGCTCCTCTTTTTCTGTGTGCCGTGTCCCTTCGGGGTGTGGTTCTCTGCAACTTGTTATCGCTTGTTATTGCCTGTTTACTATCCATTACAAAGGGTCGGAATGAGAATTGTGGTTCTACAGAAGGATAATGAGAATACCATAGTAAGTAAATGTAATCAATGAGAAAGTTTTCCGGATAATAAGGACTAAAAGGACAGTGGAACTTAGAACCAGAGATAGAGAGGAAAGACGGCTTGGAGAAATTTATACTCACAAGACAAACTGAGCAAGTGGAGCAGATGAAAATATCGAGTAACCTATTTAACAGTTTTTATGTAAATGTTTTGTGGAACAGGGACTGGGTGGGGGATATTCAAGTAAGAAACATTGCTTATAGATGAAAAAGGCTAGCATTTGTAGAGAGTCTCCATAACCTAGAGACATGGGTAATGTATATCGGTGCAGAAAAGTTTTGTCTCGTTCACTTTACGCAAATACCCATGATTGATTTCTTTTTTACGGTTTATCAACATTTCTCTGGTTGTCTAAAACCAGAAAATATTTTTTTAGAATTTAAACACATTTGAAGATAATAATGATTTACTGATACAAGACCTACTAATTAACCCATAGATGAGGGCAATTAGAGGTCTATCCACGCCTTTTACAATGCTATTTGTGCATCGTGGAATATAACGAACCAGACTGTAATTGGAATTCGGATTTCTGATTTCCAGTTATGAGTAATTATCCAAGTTTAGAGCACCTGGTATTCCCAAGCGGTCACCCATCTAGGTACTGGCCAGGATCGATGTTGCTTAACTTCGGTGGTCGTACGAGAACATATTTGAACATATGACTAAAAAAGGCAATAATCCATCTCCCCCAGATATGGATTAAATAGCCTTTCGGAGTGAGTTTCTAGCCTGCCTAGATGGATAAAGTTGGTGAAAGAACTCTTTAGCCTTGGGTGACTGTCTTTCTAGAGATGTCCCTGTTGCAGTTTTTTGGGTATTATGTACTAGTGAGCTAGCCTAAATGAGTTGACCCATTTTATAGTTCACCAATAGAACGGTTAACCAATCAGAAACCTCAAAATATTCAATGCGACGTGTATAAAGGCAGCCATTTTTTTCTCCCAAATTGTCTGCACTGCCAACCTGATATCGAAGACTTAAAGAATTACTTAACAACCGCTACTTTCTCTGAATCTTCACTGCCGACCTCTGATATTGAACAGATTACGGACTTCACTGGATTTCATATTCAGAGACTGCGGCAAACATGGTCAACAGTCTCGATAAAAACACCAGCATGTAGGGTTAGCGACCCACATTCTCGCTACCACTTTCTTCGAGATTTTTTTTCGCGTTGCTTCGGAAGCATACATTCGGCACATCTACAGAAAGGATTTACCTGCGTACGAGATCAGAGAGCGAGTTGTTCAATCTCGCCCGCCTCAGAGCCAGTACCAAAAGCACGCGAAGCCCTTGTCAGAGATATGTTTTTTGCCGATGATGTGGTGGTAGCGACTCACATTCAATGCGAACTTCAGTCACTGATGAGGCATTTATCACAGGCCTGAAGAGACTTCGGAGTTACCAACAGTTTGAAAAAGACAAACGTTCTGGGACAAGTTATTGAAACGCCACCACCCATCACCATTGATGACTATCAGCTCGATACGGTCTATCATTTCACGTACCTTGGCTTCACCATCTCTGACAACCTCTCCTTAGCCTCCCAGGCTGTCGGTGAAGACCAAAATGATAGCGAGGCTTGAACCACGTACACCAGGCAAGAAAGGCGTCTGAACACCTTTCACGTGAGAAACATACGCCGCATCCTGGGAATAGCGTGTTCTGGAATGTGTTCTGTGTATTTCTCTCGACAACATGGCAGAAAAAGGACTCGTTTTGAAATCTCGCCCAAATAGTCGGTACCCTCTACAATATTTGACTGTCCTTCACCTTGACAATGACCTTGCATTAATTTCTTAATGTATCAAGGAAACAGAATCATTGTTACTATAACTTGAGCAAGCAGCGAACCAGGTAGGTCTTTATTGCAAGGTGAGTGAGACAGAATATATCACAACCTCCCCTGAACGATCCGAGTTGGAGTCAATCAATAATACATCCATCAAAAGATAAGTGATTCCCAACAAGACTTCAACATTCACAAAGCTCTTGAATGGGATTCATGTAACAAACTTCACAAAATTTGGCGCTCAAACCTTCCATCCTTCTTAAAAGTCCAAACCTATCGAACGTTATAACCAGTCTTAATGTATGGGTCAGAAACTTGGACATTATCTGCTCGTCCTGAGATACGACAGGATGGAACATATTCAAATTTGCTTAGAAAAATCCAGAATATCAGTTGGAGATCCCATCCAACGCTTAATACAATTTTCGAAGAACTGAGACCAATGTCTTTTAAACTCAAACAAAAATGATTACAGTTTGCCGGCCACTGCCACCAAGCGGACATTTTTTACTTTTATGACATCCTTCTGCAAGTGTCTTCTCACGAAAATTGACTTTCTCAGACACCATAGATCGGGACGCAGGGTTGGACATTGAGGATCTGGGGACAGCAATACATGACCGAACAGTGTGGAAAGAGATTGTCAATAGAGTTCCCGCCAACCATAGGGAGGTCGAAGGATAATGATGATGATGACGATGATGATTATGATGTATATATCAAATAAAAATAAATGCATACATGCAAAACAGACTGAGATAGATAGATAGATAGATAGATAGATAGTAGAGACTGAAATGAATAGATAGATAGATAGATAGATAGAAAGAAATAAAGAAATAGACTGAGATAGATAGATAGATAGATAGATAGATACAAACTGATTGAAATAGATAGATAGATAGATAGATAGATAGATAAATAGATAGATACAAACTGATTGAAATAGATAGATAGATAGATAGATACAAACTGATTGAAATAGATAGATAGATAGATACAAACTGATTGAAATAGATAGATAGAAGCTGAGATAGATAGCTAGATAGATAGATACAAACTGATTGAGAGATAGATAGATAGATAGATTGAGATATAGATAGATAGATAGATAGATAGATAGATAGATAGATAGATACAAACTGATTGAAATAGATAGATAGATAGATAGATACAAACTGATTGAGATAGATAGATAGATAGATAGATAGATAGATAGAAACTGAGATAGATAGATAGATAGATAGATAGATATAGATAGATAATAGATAGAGATAGATTGATAGATAGATAGATAGAAATACAAAAAGATAGATTAAACAAAAACGATTACAGTTTGCCAGTCACTGCCACCCAGAGGACAGGTAAATCGTTTTCATTCTTACTCTTATAGCATCCTTTTGAAAATGTCTTCTCACGAAAATTGACTTTCCTAGACACCATAGCTCGGGACTCAGGGTTGGACACTGGGCATCTAGGGACAATAATAGAGGACCTGACTGTGGAAAGGTATTTTCAATGGAGTTCCGACCAACTACAGGGACGTCAAAGGATGATGATGATGATGTCAAAGGTGGGTTGTGTCGCATCACGCTATATTGACCTATATACACCACTGCTTTTATGTCTTCAGTGCCTCTACGACCCTAATAAGTTACGTGACACACCCACTTTATAGCCTGACGTACATATAAGAATGAGTCATATGACTGTATTGAAGAAGTGTCGGCACATATACACTAAGACAGGGTTTTTTTTTCCGAGAAAATAAAAAAAACACTTTTATCAGTTGCAAAAGATTTAATTGAATAATATTCTACCCGTCTGAATTTCTGGGGTGAGGAGTTATTATTTATAATGTTTAAAATCGGACTGTTGTCCTCATCTTTGTTTTTATTATTACAACATTTCGGTCGTTGTACCTTCCGGACTTCCTCAGATTTATATCGATCTGTGTAAGCTTCTGTGAATTTAGAACTGAGCTCTTTACTCAATTTACTGTGTTAGACTGTTCTTGTTCCAATACTCATGTCTAAGGATATCATCTTGTTCTGCCTTTTTTATGTTCCACGAGACAATTTTGTAATGGATAAAAAAAAAGGCAGAGAATAATTCCTGCTACTTTAAAGATTCCAACCCGCACGCCTTTTTTAAACGACACTTTTAATTAATTCAAAATTCCTTCAATAAACCCCGACACGGTTTTTCGAGAAGGACGTTTTAGATTAATTCGAATAATATTTACCGGCAAACTAATACAGATCGAATTCATATTTGGTATAATCCAGTAAGTTCAATGATTCCCCCGGCACGACTATTCCAGTCAGCGCATTTATTTAATTCAAATTATTTTCTGTTATTTTTTAGACATTCCACTATTTTCAAAATGTCTCCTTTGTGCGACAATTTCAGACGGGATTCTTATTTAGTTAAAAAAAAATTCTTCAATACAATCTGAAAATATTATTTAAAGTCTTTTTAGTAAGTGCAAAAGATTAACTTGAATATGATCTATCGGCACTATTAATACGGACGACATTTCTATTTGATACAGTAATCCATTAAGTTCAATGATTCAACCGGCTCAACTATTTCAGACAGCGTTTTTAATTCAAAAGTTGTTCAATATAAATTTGAATAATAATGAAACAAAAGATTGATTATTTTACTGTTGAAATTGTTAGATTCAATCATAAATTCTATGGTTACAGCTTCTTCTCCTACCCTTCCCGCGTGTGGAACTCTCTTCCATCTTATTGCTTCTCCAGTCAAATTTGACTTTCAAAAATGTAAAATATCTTCTGTCTTCTTAATTCTTGTTCTTTTATTGTCCTCTCCCCTTAATAGTAGTTTTTCTCATATTCTCTAACACTCAGTAACCCCTTGCATCCTAGTGGCTTTATTGCCTTTGATCTTCATAGATTTAAATGCAATGTCAATCATTATCTTCTGTATTATTTTTTCCAGGATTTTTTCTTGTTCTGTCTCCTTAATAGTTGTTTTTCTTATATTCTCTAACACTCAGTAACCTCTTGCGTCCTAGTGGCTTTATTGCCTTTGATTTTAAAAAATTAAATGCAATGTCAATCGTTATCTTTTGTCTTCTTAATTTTTGTTATTTTATTGGCCTCTCTGTTTAATAGATGTTTTCCTCTCTAACACTCAGTAACCCCTTTGCGTCCTAGTGGCATTATTGCCTTTGATCTTCAAAGATTTAAATTCAACTTCAATTATTATCTTTTATCTTTTTAATTAATGTTTTTATATTGTTCTCTCTCCTTAATAGTTGTTTTTCTCATATTCTCTAACAATCAGTAACCCCTTGCGTCTTAGTGGCTTTATTGCTTTGCTTGGGGTGAAATGATTAAAAAAAAATCTGCCGGCATGACTAATACAGACTGCATTTATTTGATACGATCCAGCAAAGGTTTACGGCCACATCACATTGATACACCGAAGATAAGCAACATCGAACCTGATTAGCACCTAGGTGGGTGACCGCTTGAAAATACTAGCTTAGATGTATAGGTTTAGTGGATAATGACTCGGAATTGTGGATCGGAGAGCCAAATTCCAATTCTCCTTGCGTTCGTTTTATTCACTTTGACGCAGATAACCTCGAGAAAGTTATAAATTCAGCTCTTATCCCCCTGATATGGGTTAATTAGTAAGAATGATCCATTACACAATTATGATCTAAAAAAGCAAAAATAATAATAATAATAATAATAATAATCTTACAATCTAAAAATATTTTCTGGCTTTACATACCATGCAAAGGTTGAACCTTATGAATCAATCAAGGAAATACAGATTAGCTACACAAGCATCTATTTTGCATTTATTTGCATTTT